TCTCCAAAAAAAAAAAAAATGTATGGATCCAGCGTTATCTGTTAAATAAAAATTATTTAAATTTTAATCCTTATGATTCTCTCAGCTTGATATGACCATTCGCAGATACTTATCAATGTTTTTTCTTCCATCATCACTTTAGATTTCTCACTTTAACTGGTATAGATACCTTTCCTAGTCAGGTTACTCAAACTTTAATTTTTAAGTTGCTTGCCCTTGACACACCATGTTTGCTAAAGTCGTCATTTAATATTGACATAAAGTCATATTTCCTACCCAATTTATAAGCAAAATGTATGAGCTACATTTTCATAATATAGACTGACACTGGATTTTTCTATTCATTCTCTATTTTCAAGCATGAAGCATAGCCTAGCGACTTCTAATTGTTATGGCATCTGTTGTAAATTGACATTATCTATGCATACCAGGCCTAATATTTTACACATCATCCCTGCTTCTCACCACCTTCAATGTTATTACTCTATCTGAAAACACTGCTATTGCTGGCCTTGTATGTGTGTGTGTATATCTGTGCATGCATATGCACATGCAGGGGAGGGGGACAGTGAAGCCTACAGGGAGGGCAGAGAGAAGGGGTAGTGGAGAAAGTGGGGGAGAGAGATCCATGTTGGTGTGCGAAGGATGAGACTACTGGCATTTGAACTGCATTAATGTAACTGTAAACTCCTTGTGCTATTTTATTATGTTATGCTTATTAATCTCTAGGTTGATCATTTGTTTCACTTCAAGTAATAATAGTTTCTGACACTAGCAATTTTCACTGTTTGGGAGTCATAACCTCAAATCAATAAAATGCTTTAGGGATTATAAAAAGTCAGAGATGTGACACAGTTCTTTGTGAGGTGGGTCCCACATGGGAAAGTCCCCAGATCTCTGTACACACTGGGTGCATGTGTGCACCCACAATCCAAGCTAACTGAAGCTAGACGTAGGTGTCAAGACCCTGTTGGTGGTGATTCTCTTGTTCTCTCTCTGAAAAAAATAAAATAGAATGTTAAAAGAATGAGTGACACATGCCTAAACACTCAGTTATGTGAGGCAGGAGGATTGTGCGATGGAGGCAAGCTTGGACAATACTCTTTTATGAACCAGGTGGAGTGGAGAAAAACGTATTAAAGAGTGGTCATCTCTATTTGGGGGTCTCTCTCTCTCTCTCTATCTCTTTCTGTTTGCAAGTGCATGTGCACTCTAACAATACAATAAAAATAGTTGGAGGTCTTTGTGAGGTGAATGCTTGAGTATCTGTAATTAAAGATGTTGCCTATGGCCTTTGAAAGGCTTATTTACTCAAGTCTTTTACTGAAGCAAAATGAATATTCTTTGCAACTTTCCTTACTAGCTGATCAGTCACTGCAGTCACTGCCTTAGGTGGGCAGGTACACACAATTCCTGTATTGGAATAAAAAGCAATGCATTGCATCAAAATACTAAATCTAAATTTCCTAAGTTTTTTATATTTTGTTACTGAAATATCTAATACAGTAAAGAAGACAAAAAAAATTCGAACACCCTGATATTTTATGTTGAGAATAATTCCTTTATATAAGAACTACAAGTGTAAAGAAAAAATAAAGTGCAATTGAAACTTTCACAAAAATCACTGAAATAGTGTCATTTGTTGATGAACTATCTTTTATCAGAACAAACTAAAATAAACTGTATTGCTTATAAATAAACTGTGTTGGTAAAGATGAAGGAGCTACTTCAATTTATTTTTTTAATTTATTTATTTATCATCATAATCTTGTTTATATTACATTGTATCACATATAACTTTACAGTGTATTACATTTCTTTTTCCAGAAGGAATACCATGTATATCAGTTAATACAAAGACATTAAAATTCCCATTTTATCATCCAATAGCATTTCGGGGTTTTTTGATTATTACTATTCCAATTATTTTTTAAACATTCAATCACTATTTCTCATTTTGCTTGTAAAAAGACTTTATCCAACATGAAATACTTCTCAGACCAATCCAGTTGAGAATACTATACACGTCATCATGAACAGGTAATAAAACATATCAGTGTCCTACTGATGTCATGCCTCTCTATTTGTTCTCTTGCTATCTTTATCTTCTCTTCTCTCCCCCCCATTCCACACTGCCTTATCATCATTAACTATTTTCACTGCTATTATGTCCTCCAGTATTTCGATCTCTACCATAGAGTGTGGATAGTTGGTATATATTAAGTGGATACATACAATATCTTTCTTTCATATCTTGACTTATTTCACTCAGCAATAGATCCTCCATATCCAACCACTTTCTATCAGGGTCTTGTTTTTTATGAGTAGTATTCCATAGAGTATATGTGCCACACTCTTCCAATCCATTCATCAGTTTGTGAACATTTAGGTTGGTTCCATGTCTTGGCAATTGTGAATAATGCTGCAATAAACATTGATGTGCAAGCACTTTTCTGACTGAGCGTTTTCCTATCCTTTGGGTAGATACCCAGAAGTGGGATTGCTGGATCAATTGGTAGTTCTATTGTAGATCCTTGAGGAACCTCCATATTGTTCTCCACAGTGGCAGAACCAGTTTTCATTCCCACCAGCAGTGTAGGAGAGTTCCCTTTTCACATCCCAGTCAGCATTTATCACTTTTTATATTTTTAATCTTTGCCATTCTTACAGGGTTTAGGTGGTAGGTGGTATCTCATTGTGGTTTTTACCTGCATCTCCCTTATGATGAGGGATGTTGAGCATTTCCTCATATGCTTTTTGACTGTTTGCATGTCTTAGAGAGATTTTTGTTCAACTCCTTTTAATTGGGTTAATTTTTTTTTTTTTTGCATAAGGCACTTGAGTTCCCTGTGTATTCTGGTTATCAGTCCCTTGTCTGAGGCATGTTTAACAAAAATATTCTCCCATTCTGAAAGTTGTTGATTATTTCAGGCAGAACACAGACTGGCTATTTGTCCAAAATACATAACCTAACAAAAAACCTTTTAAAGTTAGCTTTGTACACAAGAAATAGATACTTAATTATTATTTTGTTTTTGAGAGAGAAATTTTTGGTATAAGTCATGTGTGCTAGCTGGAGAGACAGAAAGACAGAAAATAAGAAATCACCCCCAAGGGAGATGGCCATGCCACAATCCCTTCTCCTCCATTCTCTTGTTAGGATTTTGGGTATGCATGCATACGTGTCCATCATGAGTTTTAAGCTACTAGGTACAGGATTTGAAGCAAGGTCGATTATGTAGGAGTCCAGTAATGTATCCATTACGCCATCTGCTGGTCACGATACTTAAGTAGTCATAAATCTTATTAAAAATAAAAATTACTAGGCCAGTAGATAGCATAGTAGTTATGTTGCTGGACTCCCACATAGCTGACTTCAGTTCAATTCCCAGACCCACTGGCTTGAAAGTCATGCCAGGGGTGTGTGTGTGTGCATTCTCAAGATGCCAGTAGGAGAGTGGAGGAGAAGGGATTGAAGCTGACCATCTCCCCAGGGGATGATTTTTCACTTACCCTCTCACTGTCTCTGTCTCTCTCACTCTGGAGAGCACATGAACCCTAAAGGAAAACATCTTAAATAAATGAAATACAAATAAATAGATAAATAAATATTACTACTATAAGAATTTTAGCACAGAATAACAAGATCCAGTTTGACTCTAAACTCTTCAGTTTATAAATCATGATGTAATCATGTAAAATACTTAATTCCTGAGTCTCAGTTTGTACCTTTAAAAAATTAGAGGTAAAGGTTAGGCTTACTCTTTGAGACAGTAAATAGTAAATGAAAAACAAAAGTAGAAGTGATGTACAAAATATAAAACACATAAATTCAATGCATTATTACAACTATTATAGTGTTAAAACTGGGAGAAAGTAAAATAATCCTTAACTTCAGTACTAGCTAAGTGCAAATTGCTGTGTCTAGACAGATTCTGAATGTTATTAATTCACTATATGAAGTGTTTTTCTAAGCTTTCTTATGTTGCCTCCAGGAATGGCATATTTTACAATAAAACCAAAACTGTAAGCCAAATTAAGATTTCTCCTTCAACTTCTTGCATTTAATTTTTGTAATTAGTATTTTCTATTAATGTCATAGCAATGAATTATATTTTTCCTTATATATCATTACAGTAATATCTTATTTTTTATCACAGTGCTTCATGGGCCAGGTGGTGTGGAGATTAAGGCAGCTGAGTCTCATATGGCCACCTTCTCTGTTTGAGGTCCAGACCTGGTGGCTTGAAATTCACATTGAGTGTGTGTGCATGAATGCCTCAAGTCTCAAGAGGAATAGAGGAGAAGGGATTGCAGCATTCTCTTAAGGAAAAAAGAATCTTTATGATTTATGATTATTTTAAGGTTTTAAGGAATCAGATGGTGGTACAGTGATAAAATCAGCTCTGGGAAGTCAACCAACATGAGAAGGTTCCAGGTTTGCATCTGGAGCCCTTTCTGAGGATGCTGGGAACAAATGTGCCTATGCTCCCATGCTGGCTGAAGCTGGATGTGGATCACAGTATCAAGGCACTGTTGGGGATGCTGCCTCTCTCCAGCTTTCTCTCTTTGTTGCTTCATCTCTCTCATTCTCTGTCTGTCAATTTCATTAATAAACAGATAAATAAATTTTAAAGATCATTTTAATTGTAAAATTAATCATTTTGCTGAGTAGGACCCATTAAGGTTAAAGATTTATATCTTCTACATGAAGAAAAATGAACTAATAAACTTTTTTATTTTGCAAATTTTTACATAATTTCAAAAAAATTTTCTTAAACCTACTAGATAAGTGGACAAAAATGTAACATATTTCTAAAACTTTCAATAAATTAAGAAAAGCCCAGGATACAAACACAAAGGGAATGATGGTGGTAGCCATCAACTAAAATGAGGATTCACCTGAAGAGGTTGGTAAGAGTATAATTTTAACATCAACTCAGAGTAAGAGAGGCAAGGCTTTGTGACCTCATAGGGTGAGAAGCTGGAACAAAAGCCCTCAGAATTTATGAACCACAAAAGGATACCTGCTCAATGGAAAGGTAAACTTTATAAAGTCAACATGGACTTAAAGATAAAATAGGATCTTTATTAGATTCAGTTCCAGGTGAAAGAAAATATCATCGCAAGAGAATATGAAAATATAGCCACTTTGGGGACTAGCGTAATGGCTATCTCGTTGTACTCCCATGTAGTCGACCACTGTTCATGTCCCGGACTCAGTGGCTTAAAACTCATGCTGGGAGCGTATGAGTGTGTGCCCAAGATCCCGAGAGGAGAATGGAGGAGGAGGGACTGTGGCGTGACCATCCCCCCTGAGGGGTGATTTCTCACTTCCTGTCTCTCTGTCTCTATTTGGCAAGCGCACGCGCCCTATAGCAAAAACCTCTAAAAATATTTAAAAATACAGCCATATTTATAGGTATATATATATGGCTGTATATATATATACCTATATATATATATTTAATTCCTATATATATATATATATTTGGAATTTAAATTTGTCCTAGAATATTCCAAGACAACTAATAACTTTAAAGTGTTTTCCGATCAGCAAAACCTGGGTCATCTGCCAGCCCCAAACATAAAACTTCCAGAATAAGAACATCTATTTAATCAAGCTTCAGGAATTGTTACCGATTATGCTCACACAAATGTCAGTTCAAAAATCCAAGTTTCAAACACACACACACACACACACACACAAGAAAACCTACTTTATAAATGGTACAAAGAGAACTAGATATCCACATGTAGGGGAGTTAAACTAGATGCCTATCTCTTACCAACTATAGAGATCAACTCAAAATGGATTAAAGACTTAAATGTCAGACCACAAATATATAGCTACTAGAAGAAAATATAAGAAAAATACCTCATTACAATAGTCTGGATATAATTTTTAAAAAGTCTCACTGGCAACAAAAGTTAAAATAGACAAATGAGGGCCAACAGGTGGAGTGGTGATTAAGGCACTGGATTCTCACGTGGTTGACTGTGGTTCAAGTCCTGGACCTGGTGACCTCAAAATCACAGTGGGCATGTATGCACACGTGCCCAAAATCCCAAGCGGAGAATGGAGGGAAAGGGATTGCAGTGTGACCTCTAGGGGGTGATTTCCCACTTTCCCTCTTACTATTTTTGTATCTCTTTGGCAAGTGCTTGCACCCTATAGCAAAAAAAAATCTATAAAAATTTTAAAAAGATGAATGATATTACATAAGATAAATACAAAAAAAAACACAAAGAATTTTTTGGTTGTAAACATAAATATTTATTTATATTTTTATCAATGAGTGTCTGTAAGACCAAAATTAGATGACCAACTATTTTGTTATTTAAATTAACATGCACAAACTGTAGAATGTAAGTAATTTTTTTTTAAATGAAGATAAAATAGGAGCACAAACTGTAGAGTGTATGAATTTTTTTTTAAATGATAAAATTAGAAATAGGAACAGTGAACGGGGAACTATAAAACATCACAAGGCAATTTAAAATTCACCAGTAAGAACTTGTAAAAGCGAAAAATATATGTACCGAATTTAAAAGTTCAGTGGATCATTTAAAGATTAGACACAGTCGAGAGTATCAGTGAATTGGAAGGCAGAGTAACAGTATTATACTCCACTTGTAATAGAAAGGCAGAAGATTCTGAAGTCTGAGGAGAGTTGAGTGACAGAGGACTGAATGAGAAGGTATAATATATATCCAATCGACATTCTGAGAGACAAACGATATAAAAAAAGGAAGAAGCAATATTTAACATAAAGGCTAATCACATTGCTAAATTGATAAAAAGCACAAATCTTTATTTTCAGGAATTAAGTTGAAACCGAAAAAAAGAAAAATACATTTTCACCTAAACAAATTGTACTGAGAACTTAGAACAGCATAAAAGATAACACCTCAAATAAGCTAGAAATAACAGGCAGTCCTCTTATAAAGAAGCAGATTGAATGGATATGTTATCAGGAAAGTCATGATGTATTTTCTGGATGTTTTTCTATGCAAAACTGCAGTATGACTTTCTCAGCTACCCAATACAAACATACTACAAAGTGATCAGAGAGAGACTCAGAAATGATAGGCTTTATCAAGACAAATTTCAGAATACTTACTCATTTTGGGCCAAGACTGAGAAAAATGTGATTCAAAAGAGTGCCAATATTTTATAATATTTTATTTCTTCTGTAGTACAGGGGTTTTTAAAATGTATATTATTATTATTATTTAACCTTAAATAATTGATAAAATATTAAAAATTTTGAAATACTGTAATATTAATGCAACTTTACTGTCAATTAATCAGGACAAGTGTAGATTTAGATGAGGACTTACAATGATTGGTGTTCGACCCTCCAACTTAGTATCAGCTCTCATTTCCTGAGGCTTTGCTACGTGCCAAGCCATACGTAAAGGGACGTGCATCTCTTAACTCTATTACACCTTACACTAACTCAAGGGATTTTACATATCATTTTTCCATTCTACTGGAAGGAATTAAGACACAAAGCAAATGCCTGTAGTTACATTTGACTTTTGACTAAGTATTGGTTTTAGAAAGCTGTCCTTTAAAACATCAGGAATACAAGAAAAGGAGAACACTAAAATAAATGAGCACACAAAATCACAGTTTTGCAATTCTAAGTTAATTAAAATATGCCCTATTTTAAAAATTATCCTTCTAGAAATGTTTCGATATGTTCAAAATTTTTCTAAACGTTATAATTTCATTAGTCATGACCTCAAGGGCCTGAATTTATTAATATATTCCCAAACCCAGACCTCTGCAAAGTGTTTTTTATTTAAACTGCATTTTTAAATATATTTTATTCAGACATTCTTGTGAAGCTATTTGATTTTCATATAGTATAAAATTTATGCTATAATTAGCATTATACATTTATGTCTTTACAATATGCCTTAGGATTTTCAGCATTTGGGTAAGTACAATTGCATTATACACACTGAACAGCAATAACTTCTTGAATAAATGTTCAAGGAAAAGAATTTTTTCATATAAATTAGAAATGGTAAAGTTTGGTCATTTTACTTTAGGTTAATGCATTTCTTACTCCTTCAATTATTCTGAGAAAACTAATACCTGCAAAATTGCCTGAGAAGAAAATCTATCTAGAATATGTATCATGTGAAAAACTACCTATTCCTAGCTAATTTCTCTTAAATAAGAGATCTTTTCCACTTGTAAATATATATTTTAGAAAATAACTTTGAGGCCCACTCCTAGTGGTACACGTGGTAGAAATAATTCTGCAGGATCCTGGAGACCATGTGGAAGGCTACAGCTTCACAACTAGGGTCTGCCTCCGCAAAGCGGATGTGCCCTTGATGTTCTTGACTGGCGGCAGGGCTGGGAGTAGGATCCGATATGGGAACTCTGTCAAAGGCACCTGGTTACCTCTCTTTCTCTTTCTCGTCTTCTGCTTTCTCTTTTTTTGCTATCTCCTAGGGAAAAAAAAATTAATTAACTTTAAAAATAAATAAATAAAAACAGAAGAATTTCAAGACCAGATTGTGTCAAATATTCAAGTTAAAAAGTTATGTCACATTTACATCCCATATCGAGTATGATCTTTAAATATAAACTGTATTAAATGGACAATTTATGTAATACTATATAAAAGGATACATTTCTTCATCAGTATCAACTATTGTTATTGTTAATTTTACTACCATGCTATGTTTTACCTTTACAGAATAACAGGGAATACTACCATGCTATGTTTTACCTTTACAGAAAAATAGAGGCCATATTTAATGTAAATTATTATTTAGTCTTTGAAGCAATGATATGTTCAAATTAGGTTTTCATAGAAACAAGTACTGTACTTCAAACTTAGTATAATACTATGAGAGCTATATTGCATTAATCCACTTAAATATATTTTTTTAAATTGCTGGAGTATGTGAATTTTCCAGGGATAGACAGAGAAAGAATGCTCCAATGGGTCATTGTCACACCACAATTCAATCTTCACTTCTCTATCCTGTGGAGAATCAGGAAAACACATGCATACATTCCTGGCATGTTTTTCTTTCTATTTTTTTTTTTTCATATAGCACATGTGCTTACCAGAGAGAGAGAGAGAGGGAGAGACAAAGTGAAAAATCACCCCCTCCAGGGGGGATGGCCATTCACAGTAGCAATCCCCTCTCCTCCATGCTCCTCTTACGATCGTGGACATGCCTGAACCCGAGCCCAGCATATTTTCAGGACTCAAGGTCTGGGATTTGAGCCACAATCAACATGGTTGATTGTGAGAATCCAGCCATAACCACCATGCAATCTGCTGGTTTCTGGCATGTTTAAACTGTCAGAGAAAGGATTCAAATCACAGCCAGTTATGTGGGATCCTTTAACCAATAAGCCATTAATCTGGCCTGTTTCCTTGACATCTTAAATAAATTCTTTGGAAGCCACTAACTTCATACCATTTTCTATTTCTTGCTTTAAAAAAAAAATAAAGGAATAAAAGATCCCCTCAAATTGTAGGCATGGCAATTTATGTATGTATGTATGTATTTACTTATTTATTGCAAAGAATTGGTACCCTTCCTATTTTGGTAGACTACACCAGTGAAATCTTTAGTGTCTAATGGTCTCTTTTTATATTATATAATTATGAACTATTAATGAATATTCTTTAATAAATATGTGCCTGTTCAGATGATCTACTTCCCCTTGTGCAATTATTGAAAGTTGCAGCTTTTTTCACCCAAGTTGAAAAATATTTTGTTTTAGTGTTAAACGTGGTATTTCTTGGGGCCAGCAGTTGGCGTAATGGCTATGTTGCTGAACTCCCATGCAGTTGACCACAGTTCAAGTCCGGCCCCGGTGGCTTAAACTCATCCCGGGCATGTGTGCATGCGTACCCAAGATCCCGAGAGGAGAATGGAGGAGAAGGGATTGCAGCATGACCATCTCCCCTTGGGGTGATTTCTTGCTTTCTGTCTCTCTGTCTCTCTCTATCTTTCTGGTGAGAGCACACGCCCTATAGCAAAAAACTCTAAAAAC